TGTATTCGCTTGGCACCTAATAATAAATACAATTTATTTTCCCACTCATATTAATATTTAAATAATTTAACTTAAATAAAAATTCTGAACATTTTCTAAATTTTCATTGCATAACAGTTTTCCCTTAACATATATTCCAAGCAAAGTAATTTAAGTAGAAAAGAGGAACATTTCTGAAATCAGGAGACGGGAAATTGCCTCATGTAGTCATCCTTTAACAGTAAAAGCTTAACTAACCTGCATACTCGGAAATTGCCGAATATTCCGCATAGTCGAGGGTAACTGGAAAAAGAGGAGGAGGGGGAGTAATTAATCCATACCTGATATTACGCAATCCGAATCAACAGCTGCCCGTATTCGAAGAATAAAGAACTAAATAAAGGAAAAGAAAGAGACTTATTAATCTGGGGTGTTTTTGATTCGAATTTTGAACAGACCCTCGAATAGAATCATTCTTCACTTGGGTTCGGTACACCGCAAAACTTTTAGTCCAATTCAATCCAGATTGGACAGTGACAAAAAAAAAAAAAAAAAAAAAAAATTCGCTGCTTCAATATTAGAGATTTTTCGGAGAAACGGGAGAACCTCCCAATCTCCGTACTGTATAATGTATTGGGAAAAAAAAAAAAAAAAAAAAAAAAATATTCTGACTATTCGATTACTTTCCTTTTATTTAAGCCATTCCGAATATTATTCCTTAGAAAGCTAATCTGTGTAAAAATAAACCGATTTTTGGAAGTTTATCTAAACCTCAGCAGCTACTGCAACTATATTATTATAAATATTCAGACATATGCTCATAATATAAGCATAACGTAGTATTTGGGTGGGAGAAAAAGAATACCGAATGTACCGGAATTTTCTACGATTTTCGCAATTCTTTGACCAATAGAACGACGTGCACCATAGGTTACGTTAATGCAGAGAAAGGGGGAAAAGCTATTTCCGGGAGTATGATTCACCATCTGACGTTCCATATAAAGAAGAAAAGTTGTTTATTTAGTTTAGGATTTGGTACAGGGGGAAAAAAAATGCGCGTTCATTAAAAAAAGCACTAAAAGCAAAAAATAAGTACCAAAAACAAAAAAATAAGGGCTTTAAAGAAAAAGTAAGCACCTATAAGGGCCTTTATATTTTATTTTCAAATATACGGACTTATAAGCACTTGTAAGGACCGCTACGAACCCTGAAAAATATGGGAGATATAGATCAGCATCAAATTCATTGAACTTCTAGAAAATCATCGAAATGGTGGATGTACATATTTTGGTTCCTTTTAGACACAGCAGTGAATTACGCTTTTATAGTTCATAGAGTCACTAACTATTCTATCCTAAAGTGACCAAAGCAGCTATATGACTTCAAATTAGAACTGATTGAAGAATCCACTTTGCTAAATTCATTTCGTAAACAAACCTCAGGCATATTTTTGCCTAGTGCATTTCATGATCACAAACGGCGAAAAATAAATGGTCGTAAACGCTCTTGTGTTCGATGTAAAGAATTAGGCAAAAAGACAAACTCGGAGAGGTATATTGAAAGTTCTTTGGGAGTGTGATATATGCAGAATGTGCTCATGCAAAACAGGCATTTAGAATTTCAGTTGCAAAAATTAAAAAAAAAGGCTCTTTTCAGGGCCATACAATTTTAGGTACAGTTCTTTTATCAAGACCGGATTCAGAAACGTATGTATGTATGGATGGATGCATGTGTGTATTCATGTATGCATGTACATACTGTAAGTAGGAATGTGTGTATATACAGAGACGCATATATATACACACGTGCATACACTCATATATTTCTGATCCGGTTCCGATTACAGAACAGTATCCAATTTCAAAAAAGTGAAAACGTTATTGCACCATCACGAAAAACTTGTATAAATGTGGAATCAACAGTAATATGTATATAAATACATTTATGTATGCATATATCTAGCTACAAATTTATATGAGTGATAATATACATATGCATATTTACCTATAACACATGAAGAAATAATAATATGCATGTATAACTAAGTTAATAAAAACACGGAAAAACGATGACATTTATAAACGCGCTTTGAAACTCATACATAATATAAAATCATAAAAAAGTCTATAAACTAAGGTTTATTCCTCACAAAGATGGGATCAAACAACTGATTAACAAATGAAAAGACCCGCATTATTTTTGGAAAAGGAAAAACAAAGTGAAATAAACTAAAATGAAAAAATAACGCACCACATTAACTAAAAAATAGCAACTTAACGTGAAAAGAGAGAAAGTACATGAAGTGAAATCTTAATCCTCTATTCAATAAAAGAAAAAATAATAAATTCCTGTAAAAATGAAATTTTAAAAAAGAAAATTATTTATTTATATTATATTCATGACAGGGTGTTAAAGTTGCCTATTGTATATGGAAAAGTACAAGGGGATTGCCGAAGGCATGGGAGTGATTTTCAAAATGAAAATTGGCTCGTATTTACGTTGCACGTGATAATAATCAATATACGCATTTTGCTTAGCGGGATCCATTTTATATCCTTTGTAAAAATGCAGAAATATGTTGGTACTTAACAGAATTATGACAAAATATCTACTCTTTAAACCAGAGCTATTTTATCATAAATTTTAAACAGCAATAAAAGTGCAGTTTAAAAGTTTAAGGATTATATTTATTTTTAATCAATTTATTCCTTCCTATAAAAATAAAGGAAGCAAACAAAATCTCAGTCATGATCATAACAAAGCCAGAAAGGCTTGTTTGTTTGACCTTCAAGATAGGTTATAAAGAATGGGATCAAAGGCTAATTAATGGAATCTGTTAGAAAATACAAAGGATGTCATTCAAAATCTTCACACCTATTTTCTGTGTTAATGGACGGAGAGGGGAGGAAACTGCTGTGAAACCGGAAAAGTATTTCAGGCGGTTCAGTTATTTTGAGGATACAGCTTTTCGCTAAGCTGAATTTCAAAGAAAGTTTAATGAAAGTCTGAATTTCAAAGAGTTAAGGTAACTATACTCACAGAAATCCTTTAGTCAAGTAACATGATTATTTTCGCATGCATTCTTTTTGTTATACTGCAAGTTCCATCAATTTTTATAGACTAATTGGAATACATTTTGCCTTCAAATAAATTTCACAATATGAAATTTCGGGACTGCCTGCACAAATATATTATTTTTGCTGTAAAACTGCCAAAGGGGACATTAATGAAATGTGTTTGGCAGATAGCTGCTGGATGATGCTGAGTTTATGCAATTCTTTGATTTTTTTTAAAGCAAAAACAGATATTTGTATATACGGGAAGTAGAACAGTGAAAAATTTAAAGAAAGATTTAACAAAATGTTATTACAATCCTTATTTAATAATTAAAATGTGTACTTTAAATTGTTAGTGTATTTTCGTTTGATACATTGATAACATTTTGCCACATATTGATAAATATTGATATTTTAGTAACCTTTTTAAAAGAAAATGTAAAAATTGCCAACTTGCACTTGATAAGTAACTAATTTTCACCTCTTCATCTATTAAAAAAACAAGGTAGTTGCATTAATACATGAAAAGCAAAAATATTATACAGTTTGGGGACTTTTCTTCCGATTTTAGCGATTGACTCAGATGGCCACTTTAATCCTGAAGTACCATGAAGTTCATTTTATTTTAATAACTGCACAGTTAGAAAAAATAAAATACTTTTAATTTCTACTACACATACTGCAAAATACCTATTTCAATAATTCTGAAGAATTTTTTATCTGCAAAACATCTGTTATATTTATTGTGTGTTATTACTGTGATATTTATTGTCTAACAATAAATTATTTTGTATGGTAAATCAATAAACATATCAAACATCTTCATTTAAATTAATTTTAGCAAATTTATAAAAAAGTTTCCTCTAAATTTTCAATTTTTGTGTTACATAAATCAAAATAAATGTTAAGAAACATATATATAAATTAATCACTAAATTTACTTGATGTTGAAAGAAAAACAATCCATATAATATGGCTGAATATGGTTGGATACAGCTGAATTCGACTGCAACTTTAAACATTACATGAATATTTAGAACGGCATAATAATGGAACTGTAAATCCACTGCAGGTTGCATTCCCAAAAGGTAACAGCCTTCATCGTATAAAAACAAAATTACACTTAAGAAGAAGAAAAATCAAATCTAATTTTGGGATAAATAAATTAAATAGATAATCAACTACAATCTGCTTATGGCATACTAACAGTAATCACAAAATCAACTTAGCCTTAAACTCGAAAGTAAAGCAGTTATAATTAATTAACAAATTAGTTTTACTTCAGTTAATCAATATAAAATTTTTGTGCAAGAATGTTAAAAAGGTCTTCATTTACTACAGCTTTCTTTTACGTGATAAATATACACCACTAATATTTCAAACACTATTTAAACTTTCACATGCAGAAGTTGGATTTTCCTAAAACTTACAGGAAAAGAACTTCACGATTAAGACTATTACTTCAATTATTTTGAAAACATAAAATGTTAATTCTAATTCACACTCTTGATAATAACACTCCTGGATGTTAAGCATGAAACAAAAAAAAATATTGTGAAGTGAATCTTCTTTTGCAAACTATACTAAGTAGTTGAAGGTTTTTAATTACATTACCAACAGCAGAAGCAAATTTCGTAACTTTAGAACTGCATGCAACAGGGCTTTAAAAACTTTTCATTTTTATTTTGAGAAAACTAACACGATTCAATGTTATAATCATCACCTAAGCCTAACCTATATAGCACCAACTTTTAGTTGCATATACCTACTACAATGGATTCAATAGATTGTATTATTTTTTAAGAATATTTTTCAATTTCAATTTTAAATTATAAATACATTACAGAAACACTTCACGAGTAAACTTATTACAAAAGCAAACTGACAACATAGCCCTAATAGAAGGACACGCATACTAAGGATAAATTTCATGCTAAAATTATATACTGTGTAATAAAAGGATACACATGTAAACGTTGACCCATATCTTGTATGAAATTGGCTGCTTGTTGCCTATATGACAATTCTTTAGCTTGGTCGATACCACATTTTCGACTAGGCGAATTAGCCAACTGATCCTTCGTGAAGTAAAATCGATTAACATTCTCCATTGAACTCAGAAGACAACACTACTCTTATAAAGATATTGTCATATTTTTCATGTCTTACTAAAGTCAAATAAAAGTATTTTTTGCAAAAATAAGGCTTGTACACATTTATGATACACAAAGTTTACAACAAATCCACGTGAAGGCGATTACATTTCCATGACGTCATGAGCACAACTTAAACAACAAATTATTGCCAGATTTCGAGAACTATATTCAAGATTACAGATTCAAAGCAATCACAGGTAAGAAAACAGTTGGAGGACAGGCAAAAGATCACAACTTTTCAGTTATATTTTACGGGAATTTCAGGTCATGTAAACTGAAAGAAGCGACCTTAGAGAACAAGAAAAGTTTTCGCTTTTCTATAAACACTGAAGCTAGCTTATTTTTCAGAGATCTTTGAATACATGAAATGTCCCATGTCTTTGACGTAAGCCATTGATAATAAATAATTTAAATAACAAATACAGAATAAATTCTAATATTTAATTTTAAAAAATAATTTCATTTTAGTTAATCAATATGACAAAATATTGACAAAGAATGTTAAAGTTGTCTTCATTTACTACATCTTTCAGATAAGATTCGGAGAACAGCCTTGGTTGCGCCAACTTGGCTTCTTTAAGGATTTGGGCGATATTTCATCATGCCAACGGAAGTAAATATCATATACTATGGGGAATAGGTGCTAAGGAAAAAAGGAAAATACATGGGGAAAAACGGTATTAAGATGTGTTTATATTTGGTATCTGATTGCTAATTTTTTCTGTTATGTTGCTAAATTAGCATTAAAACTCGAGTAATGTGCGTCTATTGCGAAAACGCAGGGCAATTACTTTTCGATCCGATTTTATATATGTATTAATATATCACATACTTGCTCATATGATCTACATATGTATCAGGGCCCACCAGCGGCCGAGCGGTAAAGTCGCTGAACACTGGTAGTTCGGTCCGAGGTTCGAATCCCGCGAACGGGCTGGCTGCATAGGTGTTTTCGTGGTTTTCCCCATGTGTAACGTGTATACGAGCCAGTTTCCCTTAGAAAGTCCTCCACGGAAGGCATCCCTCCTCTTAGGCAGATAGCCCTAATGTGCTTTGCCATAATTAAATACATCAACATCATATGTATCAGATAACTAGCTACTTTTGACACTTATTTCTGGATGTGTATTATTTTATAACTTTTTCTGCTTTGAAAACCCAAGTATTGAAACATTATGTGTATGCTTGTGAAAATATTATTTCAGATATTCTCGTATAACTAACTATACTATAATCTCATATTATTCAGTTCTCATATAACTACGATAGAAATATGCTTCTATTATTTACTTTAAAAATGCAGTATTTGATAGCCTTCCACATAGTAGCCATTCTAGAATTAGTTCTGTAATGTTATATGATGTTAAAAGAATATATAATCAGTGTAGAGAATGCAAGTTCAATATATTTTAAAGACAGGGATAATAAACAAAAAATAAAAGGGAGACTACACATGCAACCAGATAAAAGTGACTATATTCTAAAGAAAGTTAATAAACTCAAAATGATGCCCATGCCACAAAATTCGTTTAACTATTATTTCTGAGTGGTAAAGCAGAACATATATATCTGAGTGCATTTTTTATATCTAAAATAAAATCTGTTATTAGTTGCTGATGAAAAAGTAAGAAAACAATTTTTATGGATAGAAATTTATGTAGCTGAGTATTGAAAGTCTGATACTTCATTGACACTGAAATAGCAATTTATATATTGTATGAAAGTGGAAAAAAAAAAGTGTTGTTTTTTTGAAAACTTCAAAAATCTGAATAATTTTCAGAACATATTCTTAAAACAAATTAAGAATATACTGTTTCTTAGAAGTTATTTTTTTATAATTATATGCCATATACTTTATGTACAGATCAAGCATGGCCAAACTGAGACTCGGAATTCATAATTTACTCACGTAATAAGCAACTCGCGTTGTTTTGCTTTTGAAACAGAATTTGTGTGTCTTTTTAATAATTACTAATTTAATTTTTTGAAATCACATTGTGTGTATAATAATTTCAAACTATGCCTTATTTGCTAATCTCTGATAAGTAAAAACAAAAGTCAAACAGTGCCATATCTGTAACTACCATGTTGATATTACTCTTGAAATGTGTAGTGGTCATCAGCGTAGCAGAAAAGATAAATGTTTTTTATCCTGGTAGCACCTGCATTCATAATGTACCTCAAATCGTACTGAATGCCCTATAAATATCTGTACTGTGATTTGCATTAGGAAATACAAAACATATCTAATGATCCAAATTTCCAACGAATTAGTTACTTGTTATGTGATGCAGTAGTGAGGTTTGTGATCCTGAAGTGGGCTGAAGGCCCACGCAATAGCAAAAAAACTAACTATACTTTTCTATAACCCCAATAGTTTGACAGCTTACAGTCTCATTCCTCTCTTTTTTTTTTTTTTTTTTTTTTCCATGCTTTTTACCATTACCATGAGGAGATTGTATAGATTAAGAGTCAAGTAAAAATCCATAGTTCTGTATTTTCAACATTATTGTAAACAGCAGTACGTCGCTTCTTTTATTTTCAGTTTACTGCTATTAAAATCTGTTTTTAATTATAACCGAAAAAGAAAAATTGAAAATCTGAAGGAAAAGCTTTATTTATTAGCTATAAAAAGTAAAGTATAGAAAAGTTTACAATTCGTACATCCAAGGAATATGCTTCCTCGGATACTGAGCAAAAGCAGTAACAGTTATTTTGGTACTGTTCTATTATCAAGGGACTGGATTCAGAAATGTATGAACATGTGTTGGTATGTATGTGCTTATATGTGTATTTGTATGCACACATATATTTGTACTTATGCATACAATGAACACATACATGCATACATACATTTCTGAACTCGATCCTGATAACAGAACAGTACCGCTATTTCTTTATTCGTGTAAGTAAGCATTATTGTTGAAATAAGAAACCCTTGGCAATTTACTTAAAATATTTCTTTTTTATTTGAAAGCTTTGCTAATTTTGAAACATGATAAACACCTAATTGTGTTTCTTGAATATTTCTGAATTGTAACATGCAGTTCTTACTGACATGATGTCTGATGACTTTGAAACAGAATTAGCTAATACAGGAATATAACTGCGTATGCAAATATTCTTAAATCATTGTGAAACTTGTCCAGTCTGTATGAACCAACATGTGCAAAAATCATTAAACACCAACAGGTGGTCTCTGGAGTTGGTCGCATAGTATGATTTTTACTGTTTTCAACTTTTGTAAGTTCTGTAGTCAGACTAAAGTTGTAACCTAGAAAATGATAATACAGTGCACAGGTTTTGAGAACATAAATGTTACAGTAGCATGACTAATCTGAGAATACAAAGGAAGTACAGTACTTTATGGCCTTCCCTTTCACAAAAAACACAAAAATACTTCCTACGTACACATTTTAGATGAATATTTATGATGGTAATGTGTTTTTGAATGAAGATTAAAAGGATATTACTTTGATTCATCAATTATAAAAGTATCTGAAAGGCATGGCTTTAATTATAATAAATACTATAACATAGATGTATTAAAAATAATAAAACAACCTATTCTGCCCCATGCATCTCTTTCGCCATTGCTAGAAAATCCTTCCCCCCTCTCCAACTCTTGAAAAATGCATATACATTTATTTAGATTCAGACTATGTTTCAACTTGTTTTATAAATTAAACAACAAAAGTGTAGAAAATGTTGATAAGTGCCAAAACTTGAACAAAAGTAGATTTTGATATTCATGAACTAAAACTAAATACTTAACATATAAATAAAAGGCTGACCATGTTCTTCCCCCTGAAGCCCCCTTGGTTGAAAATCCCTGTTGTAGAAGATATATCAAGATAGGAGAGGAAAAAAAAAATTTTTTTAAAAAGTAACATATTTTTCAAATCAAGTTAAATGTTTACCTCACAAAAGCATTCAAGGGATGGTTTTTTTCTAAGGATTATTAATATGTATGTATGTTAATTTTTTCGCCACTGGGAAGTGAATGTTTTATCAAGTGAAGTATATTTTGAAAAATATTTTAGCTAATGGAGATCAATTTCATAAAATATTTAGAAAGTTTCAATTAGGCATTAGCAGTTGTTACCTGTTATATACAGTGATGAAATTATATTACTGGATATTCAGTAATGATTATTAACTTGTTTAATTATGAGTACACATTCAGTGTATGTGACACCATAAATACTGGATCAAAGTATCACTAATAACAATCATGGTAATACAGTAAATTTTAACTTCTCTTGAAATCAGTAATCTATATTTGTAACATGTAATACATTGTAGCATTTAATGGTGTTAAAATTAACCAGCTCTATTTTCTAAGTATAATGATGTTGGTACCGTTATAAAGGACTCGATTTAAAATATTGGAGGCCATCTGATGTTTTGAATGTGGCAGATGTCACTAATGCATGTTAATGATATTATTCATGTAAATAATGTACAGTACATTCGCATATAAAGTATTTTGTGAAATAGCCTTATATTATTTAACAATTTTAATTTGTTGTTATTTAAAGAAAAAATATGTCACCTTTTTGAATGTTTTGTTTTTATGGTTTCAGTTTATTATCTACTGTATTAAATATAAACTTACACATTTTTAACACAGTTTTTTTTTTTTTTTTTTAATCTGAATCTGAAAGAAACAGAAAATGTGAAGTACTTTAAAATACATACTGAATTTGTGCTAAACTTTTATCAAGTTACAGATATGTGACAGTTTAATGCAATTAAATTGTTTATCAATTCAACAATGAAGTCTATGAATAAAATATAAAATTAAAAAACTTTTTTTTCAACTGTGAAAGAAATAATTTTGTCTAATGAATCTTCCTTTGGTATTTATATATTAAAACCATCTTAAAAATTAATTTTGAATTGTTTAAGAAATCATGTTATTTTATATATTAAAGTTTAAATGAATAAGGTGGCAGTTCTTTTTATATTTTATATCTCTATAATTAAATAGTCATCAATTAAAATTTTAAAAAATGCTTAAGTAAGTAGAATATTTTAACAAAAATGGTCAGTTGAAAAAGGGACATTGATATAGTTTTGATTAGTCTTTATTCAAAAATATCA